ACTTCTTATATTTATAATGTTTTTCTTTACTTTTATCCTTTTTACTTTTTTTTGAACCAACTTGGTTTTTACTAGCAACCAGCCTCCATTTTTACTGTAAGGAATTTGTCAACCTTTAATATTTAAAAAATTTTCACGTTTGATCCGTGTCTCTGATTACTTCAGTAGCCTAATTCACAACAGATAATTTTTGCCACATCCCTTCAAGGTTTGAATTTTGATCTTTCTAACTAAAATCTCATTATCTTTGGTCTATATATGCAGTAAAACATCAAACCTAATAATGATCACTTTCACCCAGATATCCCCAGTTTCCATCCTCTCAACCATTTGTGTATAAGAAGTTAACAATAAATCTAGCATTGTTTCTGGTAGGTTCCCTGATCAATTGTTTTTAAAAACCTATTTCCCTTAGGATTTGACTGTAACATTTCCCATTTTATGTAGCTGAAATTAAAATTATGAATAATTGGGATCTCACTCTAGAGTTTCTCATTAACTCCATCAGTTTAATGTAGTGGTCTGTAACTTTGAGAGCATTTGGACTTTGAATAGTACATGTGACATATTACATGTTTTGCATTATGTGTGATTATTAAAGTTAGATAGCTACTTTTGTCTGAGTTCTCTGTTAAGAAAAGCCTCATCTACTCGAGCATTAATTTTGCAATTTGTGAACATATTACATTTGACATCTAAAATGTGCTAAGTATACTTATAAGTTTTTAAAATTACTAATATTTTTTCTTCCTTTGATGCTGTGGTTCCTTGAGTGTACATGAACAGTCAATTTTGCTGATTCACCACTTCTTCTGAATGATAGTAGTTAGTTCAAATACAACAATAAATAATTGGTATTAGAAATAAATTAATAAATAATATTGTGTTATTAATCTTTACCATAATTGTGATAAGTACTTAAATAAAATTAATAATAATTGCAATTCACTTACTTAATACAGTTTACAGTATAATAGTTCTTGATCTTGAAATTGATGATATAAATATTTTGTATCCCAGCAAGCCTGATAAGTCCCTGTACTGGGCAAAGGGCAAAAGGTCTTTTTAGTACCACTGGACATTGCAGATGTAATGTCATTGACATATTATTACATAGTTTTCTTTGTTTTCACTCAGACGTTTCTATAATATCTATAGCGAAACCACAGCCAAGGGAACGGGCTTGGAAAAATCAGCGGGGAAATGACAGGAATTTTGTTTAACCCTTTAATCAACAATTCCACCTTTGTTCATTCTAATAAGAATAAATTCAAGGGATCAAAATTAAAACTATGTAGTGCACAATGAGACATGCTCTACATTGTGATTGTTTTCTTCCTGTGTATTTATGAATCATGAGATACTGTAATGTACATGCTTTTATTGGTTGCAGCTTATGGTTATTTGTTCAACTAAGCTGTCTTGTGCACTGTTCTAGTAGCAACAAACATCATTATTAAGTTCTTTAAAGAAAAGCGTGTCTAGATCTGTGCTGATCATCTTCCATTTTTAACTAGTTTATGTCAACATATTTCTTACAAATAAAATCATGTATATTTGTATTGTATTGCATTTAATGTATGTAATGAACATAAAAGTTATAAACAGCTGAATATTAGAAAAAAGTATTAACAGAAATCGACTCATTGAAGATGCACATCTATCAGAAAATAAAAAGAAAAGCAGCCTCCCCACCCCTTTTTTTTGTTCAATAAATTCACTTAGCAGAACAATGGCACAATCCAAGTTAACAAATATGCCACTATATTTTATAAATCATTTTAGAACTCAGTCACACAAAAGGAGAAAAAAATCCATATTTAGGCTTTCTTAGCTTTTAAACCTTGTCTCTGTAGAAATCAGAGAGGCTCCTGACAGGAATTTTGTTTAACCCTTTAATCAACAATTCCACCTTTGTTCATTCTAATAAGAATAAATTCAAGGGATCAAAATTAAAACTATGTAGTGCACAATGAGACATGCTCTACATTGTGATTGTTTTCTTCCTGTGTATTTATGAATCATGAGATACTGTAATGTACATGTTTACGTATTTTAGCCAGAGTTAGATGGCTTCACTCTATACATTTGTGTTGTACAAAAAATTTAGAGCATTTTGCAGACTACAGAAGAAAAAAAAAAACATGAACATACTGTTTGGAACACACATTTAGGTGTATACTGTAGGCTTTTGTATGGATTTAAATGCAGGAATGAGTGTTGTGCATAAGCTACACTTGTAAGGATTATCTATCTAAGGATTCTTCTTTAAATACTTCAGCTAATAATATTGATAGTACTTGCAGAAAAACCCAAATTCATAGCAGAATTTAAGTACAACTATTAACAGTCTTGAAATGTATTTATTCAGTATATTAAGTCAGATTTCATTTTAAAACTTATTAGTAGATAGGCAACAGCATATCACTTTATTAACCAAATGTAGATAATGTGTCTGTTCTCTCTCCTTTTTTCACATTGATAATCTATTTATTTAGTGCATACTAATTTTGTTTCTTCTGTACAAACTCGTATGATTAATTGTGTGTGTAAGGCAAAACTGAAATACAGTTTGTATATGTTTGATGAAGGCAATTATTGTGTAAGCAGAGTTTTTAAATATTGCTTATCTTAACAGTTGTGCAGTTTTTTAATTATAACATTTAAAATCTGCATGATGTTGATGTTTTATAGCTTCTGGAATGTGTTATTTTCAGTAGTTTATGGTTTCTGTAAGTCAGTTTTTGAAAATTACTGATTAAAAACCATAAGACTGTTTAATTATGCATGTCACTGTATAATAAATTGTAATCTACTGAGTTTTGTCTACAGCATTGGATTTTATTACAGGGGTCATTTTTATATTTGATAGAAATGAAAGATATCTAAAAAGTTTGGTATCTTTATATTTAACCTATACTTTACCATTTTAATTGATTTCAAATTGCAATATTTATAGAAGTTGGTAATTCACTAGAAAATATAGTTTCTTATGAAAGAATGTTCAACTCAGTAATACAAAGAGCTGCACAGTTTAGATTAAACTTTCTTTTCTGCAAAAAGATATTTAACAGTGTTACAAAAATTTATATTTATGTAAAAATAACATTTTTAGGCATATATACAGGTTGCTAAACATTTAAATCATGATAGTTTAGTATCTTGATAGATTTGACCTATCTGTATATAACTATGCTAAATTTCAGTTAGAATAACATAACTATAAAGGTTTTAGAATTTCTAGTGCATACTAGAAGGATTTTAAAATTTTTAACACTAAAATTAGGAAACTACCTCTTAGATGCAGATAATTTATAAAAACTTTGTTTTTTACTTCAATCTAAGTTTCACCTTTGCAGCTTCATCAGTTTTATTAATAAAATTATACAAAGATTTTAGTTTCCATTAAACGACATTTATTTGTACATAGTGTATTATATTAAAATAATTTATCACCTCATAGCAACATTGTGGTCCATGCTGCTATGTCTTGTCATGCTGTATATAAGGCTGTCATGTCCAAAGCACATCACTCCTCCATTTTTTCCATAATCCATCCAGTGTACAAGGATGTCTTTTCATTACACATTTCAGTGGTCTATTTGCATAGGTGCTATGGTCGACGACTTGTGGTATGTCTGCATATGAAATATTACAAACACTTGTTTCATTGTCCAGCTGCTTGAGTTACACAACAGTTGAATGGATGTGTCATGGAAGCAACTTGTGTCACTTTTCCAGATGAGCATGCTGATGTCTCAAACAGATAGACAGCTGTTGCTACTGGTTTCTGTAGATACTAATCTGCTACAAGATGCCACACTTTTTTACCACAGCTGGGGTACAACATTCTGGATGGTCCTGGTGTACCAATTTGATCCATATTCCTTTGTTTTTGATGTCATTCAGTACAAAGATATCCATCTGAACACATTTTATGCTCTAAATTTAGAAAAATTGTGTCAGAAAGGACTGTTACATACTCTTCTCAAAAGTGATACATTTTATGTGACATCGTACTACCTACAAAGTATCAAATAATATCACGTTGTAGTTCTGATATATATGCTGTTGCACTGTGACTTTATACAGGTGTTGCTGTCTCATGACTTGCTAAGTTGCATAGTCAAAATAATTTTAATATAATGTACTCAACCCTCTATTAATGTAAAATGTGTATACTTATATTGAATAGTTTAACATTATGTAAATAATTTTATTTTTCTGAAATTGAAAGATTTTGAGAATTTTGAACTATTATAACATAAAATTTGTTTAATTTCAACTTGGTAACAGTTAACTGCTTATTCTGATATTGTGCAAGCCTTGAAGAAACAAACTACAGATAAGGATTTGTAAATACATATTTCAGTGACAGCTGTTACAATTAAACATTCTTATCATCAGTAGGCATGTAGTTGGAAATAAACTGAACCTTTGTACTTATGATCAACTTAAATATCAGTGATTTATAACAAAATTGTGTACAGTTTACTGTTTGGTTAAGCATTAACAGCATTAGCTAGTACAATTACAACTGGCTCTAATGAGTAAGTTTCATGAATCTGCTACTAGATTAAGGGACATAATATATATTCAACTGTTGATCATAGTGGATGTTCCAAGGCTACGGACACTCAATATAAAGTAAGCCCAGGCTTGTTATATTAAATTGGAGGTTATATGACTTGTCTCCATAATGCTTTCTGTCTGTGCTAAAAACAGTTGATTAGATGACCTATCAGTTTTGATAGTTTTTTGCACTTTTCATAATTTCTATATTTTGTGTTTTTATATTACACATGTCATTGTTTTATAAATTAGATATTACCATAATGATACATTTGAAAACTAGTATGAAGATTTTTTTAGCAATTTCGATTTGTCATTATAGGTGGCTAGATGAGACAATTATGTAACTTTAAGATTTTGTTTTAATCCATTTGTTGTCTGTGAATGATAACTGAAGTGATGGTGTTAATGTGATATTATTATCATAGTGAATAATCCTGGATGTGAAGTTCTTCCTATTTGGATGCTTGGATGGAATGTTTCCTTGTATCATCACTGGCGGAAGCCACCTTCGTCTGAATGGAATCAAACTTGTTATGAAAAGATATTACAGTAAGTAAAATGTATTTGTGGTGTTCATCTTTATCTGAAATGAGAGTAACTTGTGATTATGAAAACATTTTACATTCAATTAAAATGTATTTGTAATGTTTGTTTAATTATAAAGAAAGTAATGGCTATATAAAAAAAAGGTAATTATTCTCTCCACTATTGAAAAAAATTCCATGAAGGTAGTACGAGATGATTTGAAAATTTTCTATGCCATAGGTCCAAGATGCAAGTATTTTTTGTCTATGAAACGTCTTATTGCAAAGCTGAAGATGATGACCCAAAAGATGCTATATTATACTTCCATCCACAAGAGGTAATGCTACACTTGTATGCTAAGAAAATGGTATCTCATGTTAACAGTGATATTGGTTTACCATATAACCAGAAGGCCATTAACATCACTCTTGTATGTCTGTCTATTAGATTATATTTAGATAGCCCAAGCAGTCATGATATGTGTAAAGATTTATTTCATACAAATTCAAAGAATTCTTTTTGTTTAGTGTGGAGATATTCAACAAAAATTTCTTGTGCATGAATTTTGAAAATGCCCCAATTTTTTCATTAAAAACTGAATTCTTACTGACAACAGTAATAAAATGTTTCTAAATTTCTTAAAATATGAACTTAAGATTTGGTAGTCTTAAAAATTTGTATCTTTCTGTAAAAGAAACTTCTGTACAGATTGTAATTGTGAATTGAGTTTAAAAAAATGTCAGATCTTTAAAGACCTTCTGCTTCAATATAACCTTGTACGAAAAAGTATAAAACTAAAGTGAAGGAGTAATAGTAAGAGCTAAGCATATAGAAGGGAGACTATGTATTTTCCAAAAGAGCAGTGTGAAGATATAAACTGAATATACAAATATAGGAATTTCTTTTGACACTACTGAAAGATATTTTAAAAGCCTAAGAAAGTTTTGATGTATGGTATGTATCATACTACACCTTTGCATACTTAGGTATAAAACATACACTAGGAACACTTATATATGCACAAAGCAACATAATAACTAAAACTATAAGTCTTACACTCAAATAAAATTATCACCATAAATCAAGGTTATGTTTTTGTAAAAAACAATTGCTGGCAATAAGGCTATAGGACACAAGTTTAAGATCTGGAAAACTTGGACAACTCAAGTTGAAGCAACTTTATTTTTCTAGTAGGGTGGTTAGCCTAAAGAATAGTTTTCCTTCAGGTGTAGTAGACATTGCAATATTGAATGGGTTGAAGAGTAGATTGAATGAGTAATTTAGAGATCAGGGTTGGATAAATGAAATTGGATTTGTATATGTAGTTTGTAGTAGGTGGGTAGAAGAAAATAGTGTAGTTTAGAGGAGCCAAATGGCCCATTGTTAAACTCTGGAAATGAGTGAATAAATTTACACGTGCATTCATAGTTAAAACACGTAAAATTATCACCTTCTATGTTTACATAAGTGATTTCAAAACTATATACAACTAAAGTTATTATAAATTTATAAGGTCCTAAAGGTTACATTTTTAAATTTTTAATATTTTATTTTGGTTTCATTAACTGAAACAGAACAATTTAATCTTTAAAGTGTTGTTACATTTTATCTTATCTGAAAATTGTTATTTACAAATAGAACACACACAAAACAACTAATCATTAACAATTTGTATTATCTAATTTTGTTACAAAATTGTATTATTGTAGCAAAGCACATGTAATAAGGCAAGTGTGTTAAGCTGCCCTTGTACTAACCATAATTTAGATTTCTAATGATAACTTTAAATAAGATATTGAATTATTCAAGAACAATGTACAGTAATGCATAGCACTATATACATGCATTTTTTGTTTAAGTCAGTAATTCTCTGTATAAAATTATTATTCTCAATTTTAAATCTCTGCCTCTTCTAGGTGTCAGATAGCCAAAAATGTGCCCTTTGTTGCCAGTTAGTGGGAACTGTCCAGTTTTTCAGTTCTTGCTTTACGCTTCCAACAATCATCAACCTGGAGAAGGGTAAATTTGCTGTCCATGCAAGACAACAGTTCCTAGTTGTGAGTGTTTCGGAATTATCTACTTTATCTATTCATTATGTAATTGATGAACCTAAGAAGTGAAATGAACAGTTAATTTGTGGCAAACCTAACATAATCAGATAGTTAAAAGAACAATTCATTGGTGTGCCATTACAGAAGTAGTTAACTGTTTATTTATGTGTAAACTTTGAAGAAAAAAAAAAAGAGATAATAGGGAAACAAGTACATAAGAGTTAAAGGGTAATGAAGGAAAATAGTTTATCATTTATCTTTCCTCTCTTCCTTGGTTAAATGTTTGAAATTAGTTTATCCTGAGTGTATTTTGACTGTTATGTTGCCTGAAACTGATTTATGTCTACTATATATTGGCTGTGTATATATTTGTAACTTGTGTATCTCATATATATTAACCATCTAAACATTTGGTACTGATTTATCCTGATAAATATCTGTTTTCACTGTTTATAAATTTAAAAGTAGTGTATCATACATGTGCATTGTACTGTTTAGATGTTTGTAGTGTATTTTGTCTGTTCACACATTTGAACCATGTATTGTGGCTGTTTAGACATTTGAAATTAGTTTATTGTAAGTATATCCAGACTGTTAAGACCTGTGAAACTAACGTATCATACATGTATTGGGATTGTTTTGGTATTTGAAACTAGTGTGTTATACATATGTCTTGATTACTTATGGAAGGGATGTTATGACCATGTATCAACCATTACCATGGTTAGTAGCCTATATGATCATCTATATTTAATAATTACTGGTTAGTTACTTTTATTATTATTACTATAAACTAAATACCATCTAATTTATGCCCTGTGGTTTGGCTGTTAATATGGTATTGTCTTCAAAGAAATCGTGTATGTATGGCAGGAGGTAGGATTCAATCGTGGGTCTTCTGTTTGAAAGGCAGATGTGTTATCCACCCATCTGAGCTCTCACTGATATATATATATATATATATAGTATTAGAATCAATTATTAAACTATTTGAATGGTTAAGTGAGCTGTTTAGGTTTTGCTGAATTCTCTGCAAGGTTAACTGAGCCTGTTATTTACTGGTTAATTAGATGTAGAAGGCTTCTAAAGTTTTTTCGTATGTGGTTCATTTATCAGTATTTTAGCATTATTTTGTTATATTGTATGATCTCTGACATGATGGGCTAGTGCAGTGTCTTGTATTGTCCATTATACCCTTGAATTGTGACTTTTATTGGAGTTCCCATTCATGAGGAATGTTGTAAGTGGTGTTTTTACTATTCAATGGGTCTGCAGATGGTTTAGTTTGTATTAACTGTAGTTGTATTGTTTTGTGGCTTCTGAAGACTTTCTAACTTTATTCTGTGTGAATAAGCTTTTTACATTTCAAGAGAGAGATCTTTAACATAGAGGAATATGGCTGTGTCTTTAATTTTCTTCCAGCTTATTTCAGGCATTTATCTTATTTATTTTCTATCAAGTATTCCAGATATCTCTTTTGTGGTGAGTGAATTATATAACTTGGTAACCATCACATCTAGGAATGGGAGTTTATTTTTTATTAAATTAGTGAAATGCATTGCTAGATGTTGTCTATTCAGGTGGTTCATAAATTCTGGAGTTTTGCCTGTAGTGTAGCCATTTTACAAATGTATCATCTATATATTTAAGCCAAATTATGGTTTTTAGAGCATCTTTTTTTGAGGATATTATATTTGAAACTTTCTGTGAAGAGGTTACTTTTTTTTTCTGTTTTTAGTATGTTAGAAGTAACTTGTGCTCATACAGAAGGCTGTGAGTTCTGTTATCATGGAAGTTGCCAGTTAGGAGTTCTATCATTTTCAAGCTGTGACAGCATATATGTAATGTTTCAAGGGATGCTGTATCAGTGATTAGACTAGACATATTGAAACTAATCATTGTATTTTGTGAGATTATCATGGGTGTTTTTATGATATCCTCAAAGTGGACTGATTTCTTAATATGTAACAATATTTTACCAGTTTTATGATGGTGATATTGGTAATTAGTATTCAGCAATGAAAAAAAAAATATTTATTAGCTTTAGACAATCATATAGGCCACAAACCATGCCAGTGATGTACTTTGACTGTTCAGACATTAGGAACTAGTTTATTCTGAATGAAGGTAAAACTGTATAATTGATAGCAATCACCAAAGTGCATGCTTTTTTTCTTTTAAGGCATTAGGTGGCAGCACTGACATGCCAGACTCCATCTTAATATCGCAACTTCACTATTTGTTGGCTATGGTTCAGTTCTACCATCAAAGCATTGGAAAAGTCAAAAATGTAAGAACCAAGGTCTTCACTGTATGTTTTGTTTTTTAACCATTAATTTTGAGGGGAGTGCTTGTAGTAAGATTATATAAAAAATGAAAAAACTAAGACCTTCTTTTAGACTGTTTTATTATGTTATCAGCTGATATATTATTAGCTCTTGATTTAACATTTATCAATTAATATTTTTGTACAGAATTTGTTTTGAGTTAATTTGTCCCCCTCTCCCTTTAATCATGAAGTGTTTAAGAATAAATTCTACAGTTAACTTGTTGGAAACCATGCCTCCTAAGTGTAAAGATATAACAAGACTTTGAAATATTTTGCTACTAAGAAGAAGCTTCCTGAAGTTGTGGAAAGGAGCAGTTTCAAGTGGTTTTAATTACTAATAAACACATCAACTTTTAAATTAGATGTGTTTTTGTTTGAAAATTTCAAGTTAATAAGTTTGAAGAGAAACTAATGTAATTATTAGCATATAATACTGAGATTTAGTATGCCTACAATCAGTTTTAGTTGTCAGTAGACAGGCCTCTGTATCTTGAAAAATCATTACATTAATTTTAACTATACAAAAGGTCTCTAGGACTCTGGTTTTTATACTGCAAAACATATTAGTTATGTAGCGAACCATTCGAAATTATGCACATGAAATTGGCAATTATATAAAAATGCTATGTATTGATTATGCAGCAGAATATATAATTATGCAACTTAACCTAAAGTAAAAAACAGCTTAAAACAGTAACATTTTAGAGGTCATTAGACATTATTAATGCAATTTCACCTCATAGTAATTTGTCACTTATTTTTCATGAAATAACAAAAAATTCATATTAAACTTTTCTGAGAGACCATTATTCAAACTCAGACCAATAAGCACTACTTGTCATTCAGTGAACTAAGTCATAACTAAATCAAAAGTTATAGAACCTAGTAACAATGTCCTAGATGTTACTAAGTCTAAAAATTCAGACTTTTATTTTGCAGTGATTATGTGATTTAAGTTGTGAAGAAAATGCCATGAGCATGTAATAACGTTAAACTCGGGGAACTAGATTTCATATGTGGGTGAAAATATTCTTATTTATCATGTTCCATAAATATATAGTGGAGTTAATTGTATAGTATTTAATGCACTAGCTAATGAAGCCTGAAGCTAGAAAATTTGAAGAAACATCACAAAGTCTCCTAGAAATTACATGTCTTCATTCTTCATGGGCTTGCACATTTTTAGCAAGTGCAAAGTGATCTGTTGAAAATTTAGGATTGATTTATCTTGCACTTATTTACAGTCCTGGCAGAAAGTTTTGATCAAAATTAAAACAATTCTAATGTTATCAGTGAGAAAATTTATAGACATTGTGGAACATACCCATTGTTTCTGCTTGATGTGATAACTCATTAATCAGCTTCTCTAACACACAGACTGCTGTATAATATCCTCATTTTGATCTTAAAGAAGTCTGTGTGTATTTTATGATATATTCATCCATCAATATTTGTACAGATGCTAGTTTACAAATATTCTCAACCAGCAGAATTCAGATGTCCACTTATAATAATGATTTATTATTTGATTGAATGTATTCATTTTTCTTATTTTTTGGAAATACATGCTTGTTGTTATAAGTGTCACAAATGTTTGAGTTATAGATAGAACCAGACAAATTCCTTTTAAAGTAAATTTAGACAATGTGTTCAGCTTGTGGACTGAGCTTCTAAGAACTGCTGCCCTTGGTTTTGAAATAATGCCTGGGGCTCCATACTGAGTTTTTGATCAAGCAAGCAGTTTGGGAAAGAGTGTAGTAACTGTGCTGAAAACCTGAAGCAAGGCAAAAATTATTGAGTAGGACAAATACATGAATTTGGAGAGTCTCAAAAGTGTTAATCTAGGAATGTTAAAGAAGCTCTCAGAATATAAATAAATAGACCAAGCCTGATCTTGATGAAATATATTTTGTAAAAAATGTGTTATGTATAATTCACAAGTTTTGCCTTAATAAATAATTGTCATGTGTATTTTAGAAGCTAATAGGTTTTTTAAATTAAGTATAATACTATAATAACTTATTTATTAGTGTATATAATTATTGATTGATATTCTTTACATATTTCATATATGATCTCATTTGAAGTACTTTACTTATACTGCAAGTGATCTCACTTGCTACCTTTCATGTGTGTTATATGTATGCATATGTAGGTAGATAGATATGATTTCACTTATTTTACAAAAGACTTCTATAAGATCTTGCTTGGGTTTACTCCTCATGTGGTTTATGCTGCTTGTTGTTACTTTTCACACACAAGGTGATCTCAGTTGTGTTGCTTTTTATGTGTCATTATCTAATCTTTGTTTCTTGGACTGAGAATGTCAACAAAGAATATTAGTATAGGATATAGAACTTTTTAAATAATTTCATCCACATTTAATTTTTTGTTGCAAACTAAAAATTTGGATTGAAATGTGTATTTAGACATCTTCAAGTGACTCTTTGAGTTATAAACATTAATTTCAACAATTGTATTTTTGCTATAGATGTGTGGGAAGAACAGAACTAAGTTTCTAGATGAAATGCACGTCATTTGGCAACACTGTCTTCCTGTCAGCCAACATTATGGTGATGTCCTTTCTCTAACCTTCTCAGCTGTTCCATATCTTAATAACTCTGAGGTAAGAATCCGCTTTTGCAGTTTGGTGTTTATGTGGTATATGTAAACAAAGATTTAACAGCAAAAAAAAGCTTGTTTATGTGTCTTACCGGTTTTTGACTTCTGCGACAAGTTGGTATCTGTTATGTGAATAGCCATTATTTCAGTGTTATATAATGTAAATAATCTTTCCAATGTGATATAGAAATTTTTAGTTATAGTTTCCAGTACATATTAGTGAAAGAGATATTTGTGTTGTGTACTTATAGGATTTAATATTATAAAAGCCATAATACAGGGTGGGCCAAAAGTAGGGTTACAGTTACTCTATTATTTGTTTCTCCTTCACAATCACGTTTTAAATATACATGTAAATCATAGAAAATAATGCTGAAACCTTATTTTGTACTACTTACTCACGTTTTAAAAACGTTATACATGTAAATAAATGTCTAAATTTCTAATAAAGGAAAAATGTTTAAGTGTTAACTGTAACCCTACTTTTGGCCCACCCTGTATATATGTATTAAAAAGAATGAGAGATTTTAAGAAAGTTGAATAAAATGTGTGAATTTGTATACCCTTTTTTCAATGATACTTTTAGTATTAAAATACAGTTAATATACACTTCTGTACTTTCACTTAGAAGTTCTTATTGAATAATTACTAGTGTAGTCTTATCCTGTTGATGCTTTGATTGCTTGATCCACTCACTCCAGGATCAAGAATACTAGCTTAATAATTAATCAGTTCTTTTGAATGATGGGCAGGTTTATTAAAGAAAATAATAGCTAAAAGTATATAGTGTTAAAGCAAATAAATAATATAGTGATAAAAAAGTGTTACCATTAATTAGAATGTGTTCTGAAATAGATGAAAAATTGCATCATATTAATTTAATCCAGTTCCCACTAACAGTTGTTGTCAAGATGTTTGTTATTATAAATAGTGTTGTAATCACTATTATGTCTGTTGTATCCCAGTTGGCCCAAAAAGCCTTGGTTTTGTGTAAAAGGACTCATCATCACTAATTATAACAGATATAGTGTGGTTTTTGTGTATTCTCCATTATTTTCACTTAGTAGTTCTTAATGATATTGGGAATGTTGGTTACCCAGATAATAAGTTGTTCTGTTGTTAAAAATAAAATCTGTGAACTTAATGACACATAACAAACTAAGCTAACTAACAGTGTAATAGTCTAAGCTTCTTTAATTAACAGTTTCAAGTGTCCATCAACTTGGAAGCCTTACATCTCGTTCATGGATATCAGAAATATTCTGCAGTCATTACAGGCTCTGTATTCTGCAAAAAAAAGTAAGTTTCTTTTTAATTATAAAATTATTCGACTAACTTGGTCATGGATATCAGAAGTAACTTACAGCTCTGGCAGGCTCTGTATTCTACAGGGAAAGTCATTCAGTTACTATTCTATAGGGCTGATACGATAGTAGGCGATACAATATGTATCTATATACTGATGCCACAATATGATATATATCTAGATACATAAGTTTTACCAACGGTTTGTTACAAAATTTGACAGTCATGACAATAAAATTGAATTAGAAACAGATGTATAATGCTTAGAGCTTTAAGTTATTTAATGTAAGCAAATGTAGTTTCCTGCTACAATTTGAAGTAATTCTAGAAATAAAAAAGTATAATTGTGATTTATTTTTAATTTTTATGGTGGTTGCGAGACTGGTCAAACTGACCAACTTCACATAATATTAGGGTTGTGAATATAGCAGATAAAATATGAAGGTTTATCAAAAAAAAAAAGATGTAAATTTATTTCAGAGGTTTTAGAGATTACACAAAAGAAATTTGTTAATTTTTAGATGGAGAAAAGTATTTTTAATCTTAACATGAAAATTGCTTTACATTCAGAGCAGTGACTACTTTGACTCCATATATTAAAAAATTAGTTTTTAGCAAAAGTACTTTATTAAAGATTCAGATTTTTTCTGTAGAAAAGACTTGTAATTTTTACTGAAAGCTTGCCAGATTTTGAGTAGATACATAAATCATATCGAATGCTGTATCAATACAATCATATCATGGCTTCATATCATATCGCGACACCCTTACTCTTCTACAAGAAAAAAGGCAAGTTTAATTTTCACTATATCTATACACAGTATTATTTATACATTTCAGAAGTACCTTTGTGAGTAATAAATTAATTAAAAATCCTTTTTCAGTCATTTGCTTTGAAATTTAGCCCCAAAGGGAACAGAAATGTACTTTTAATAGAATACTGTATTAAGTTGGGGTAGTTGAGTTTGAGAATTTAGTTTAAACATCAATTGAAATTGGACCAACTGGATTTTTGCTGTTGTGCTTAAGTGGATAGCAAGGTAAATAGATACATCTCCTTACTGTTGTGTTTGAATGTAATGCTAGCTGGATAAGCTAAGTGTGTTATAAATTTATGAATTTTATGTTATTCTTTCTCAAATATTTTCTGGAAACTCAACTAGCAAACTTAGGACTAGTAGTTGGGGATTGCAGAAAATGTACAATTTCTTTGTCTATATCTATGAATATTTAATAACTAGTTGTACAAATAGCTGTTTTTTCATAAATCAGTAGAAGTGACTAAAAACCATTTATTTTATATAAAAAGTTACTAGTATTTGTAAAAAGTGCTAAGGTTTAGTGCTTCAGATATTTTTCAACACAGTTTGCAGATGTGAATTTTACAAAATATATACTAAAGTTTAAATCATTTCTTATAAAGCTAAAGTAATGGCTATTGAACAGTATTAAATTATAGTAAAGGCAAGGCTTTATGCTTTAAGAAGTGTTTTTGATGTAGGTTAATTGAAGCTTGTACTTTTAAGTCAAAAATAAATTGAAAAGTTTAACATTAATTTCACTGTCATCAAGTTATATTTCAAATAAAAAAGATAGAGAAACATTCCTTTTCAGAAAACTCCTTAAAGCAGAATAAAAGGACAGAGCACTTGGCTCATTCACCAAATAAGTATTCCTGTAAGTTGAAGGTTTTCACACATAAAGTGCATTACTAACATGCATGTAATTAATATTCCATTGTGTATGTTTTCAGTCAGTCTTCATGTTTAGCATTTGTGTGTTTTCAGATGTTCAGCATAAACCTTCCACATTTGTGTTTTCAGATGGTCTACATAAACCTTCCACATTTGTATAGTTTCAAATGTTCAACATAAACTTCCCACATTTTTGTTTATGAATTTTTAGAAATAGGTAAAAAATTTGTAATGTTTGTGTCTTTCTCTCTGTTCTGAATAATTAGCTTTTCAAACTTAACTACTTTTACTTTTTTTTTTTTCATTTATTAACCATATCAAGAAACAAGAGTTTAGGCCAGTAGGAAACTGCCTCACCTATCCAAAGACTAAGGAAGACCTAATCATGACCTATAAATAAACTAATGTTGAACACTAGGCTATATTATTAGGCATGTATTATTCATAATAACTTTTGTATCTATATATACAAGTCTTTTGATTGTTATCTCATTCATGTATCTTGTCATCTTCCATTGAACAACTTTATTTCTTTGTAGGTAGGTTTTTAAAATGATGTTCCCTTTGAAAATAATACTTTGTGTGCCAAGAAGTTGCTAAAAATATCTTAAATCCATGTTAGGTCAAAACTGATACCTTGCATTCTCTTTGTAATGTGTATCGGTCGTATATTTTTAAATCTTGTACTTTAATCATAACAGTGTGTTAAAAACCCACAAGATTTTACTTTACAGGATATTAACCCTTTTGAGATGAGTCATGGGTGAAAGGCCATGTTATCTTGTTTGTTGACTTGCATTCAAAATTTTATTAAACTAAATTTCATGAATTTATGTTAATAAGTTTAGTATCAAACTGTACAATATAATTCAAATTTTAGTACTATATATTACTCAATTTATTAATTTAAAAACAAATATTAAAAAATATACAGATAAACATCAATTTTTGTGTGTCACATGGTATGTTGAATGCAGCACTGGTTCAAATTAGATGTTTCTAAAGTCCAAATACTAAGTCTATAGTTTCGTACGAATTATAAACCAAAATTACCGATATTGGCAAAGATAAAATATAAAATAAGAGCCTCTTATCTTTTCAGTTTGCTACGATATTGCTCATGTAATAAATCAAACACAGTGGCACCTGCCACCT